AATGTAATTTATGTTTAAGGGCCGTTCACACAGAATGAAGAGGAATGAGACATTTAAAAGTTGAACTTTTTTTTAACTTGAATGCTGTGTCATGCAAACAAAACAACGTAAAACGTGAGGGCAGTGGTCAAACATGTCCGTCTAGTGTGTTTACATTAAAAAAACCATGGAAAAGTAGTGCAGTGGACTGGAAATCATGCTCTGTGTGATTGGCCCTTAAACCCCTTACCTCTCAGTATGAGTTAAAGTAATAGTAACACTGCCTTGGCAAACACTGAATGTTAATCAGCAGCTGTCACCTCTCATTATTAGTGCAGAGAGTACATTACGACAGTCCTCTGAAAGTTTGAATGAGAGGGAGCATGTCTCTCTACACCCGTGAGTGCCGTAACACTCCCCAAAAAGCACTAAAGCTTGTTTCGTGAGTCTTCAATGACGTGACGTCAAAGAAAGAACGGCTCACTATTCCCATGAAACTAGAGAAGTTTTCCATGTCTCTTCTCTTGCACATCTATTCATTTCTTTTCTGCAGCACAGTTATGCTCAAACATTGTTCTGATAAGTCCATGTACTGATAACAGATGTTTAATGGTCTAGCACGGTTTTATAATATATAGTGACACTGGGGCGGCAATGGCCCAGTGGTTCATGTAGGTTGTCTATTACCGATTGGGTTTTTCAATCCCCGGTTCCATGAGGTGTCCATGAGCAAGACACCTTGTATGAATGGGACAATGAGGCAAAAATGTAAAGGGCTTCGGTGGCCATTGGGTCTGTGAAAGCACTATATAAATCCAGTCCATTTGCCATTTAGTAATAGAGAATTACGAGGCGGCCGACTCTCGACAAAACTTGGACATGCTCAGATGCACTTTTTCCACCGTGACGGTTCTGTTAGTCGAATTCGGCATTCGCCATTCGCCATTCTCAAACCGATAGTTTGCCGATAGTGCTGCGCGGATCATAATCCGCGGGTCGGGCAGGCCAAGTAATAAAAACATAACATTCCTATTAATCGAGGGAGGATGGCATTATAATGTGTTGAGTTAAATAAAGACATTAAACAGGCATTAATTATTAAAAAAAAACCTGATCAGGATTTTACCACCTCGGCCCCGTTTCGAACCAGAAAAAAACACTGATATCAGAATTGAGTAATACTAAGTGGTTGGTGCTGAAAACCCAGTAGTCCGTGAACAAAAGAGTAGTAATGCTAGCTAGACAAAAAGGAGACGTTTCTGTGTGCAAAGAGTTCAGTTTGCTGCAAGTGCAATATGTGTCATTTCATCAGCTCGGCGCGTGTTGTGACATGAATGAGATTAAACTCATAAAACTGGATGACTCAGATTTGCACTTGTGCCCTGCCAGCAGACTGTCTTATTACCTCTGTTTCTGAAGGATTTGCTTTGCTTTTTGTCCTATTCTGAAGATGAAACGATTTAGATACAAAGCGAAAGGAGACAGGAACGTTTATGCAGACTAAGGACAGAGGAGAGAGAATGGACACTTGGCAGTGAGAGGAAATCTGAGAGCTCATCAATCACTCTGTAACGTTATGTAATCGAGCTCTGCTGGAGAGGGTGGAGACCCACACGAACAGCTGCGGCCGATCTGAGCACGCAAAGAAAGAAGTAAGCGCGCAGTGGGAAAGCAAAGAAATGTGGGAGTGGGGTGGAAACCAGTTCCACCGCATTTATCCTGCAGCTAACATCACGATCAGCATAGTCGTGATGATTATTTTATTGTAATGAACTCTGTACACTGTCTGCAAAGATCTGGAGTGCTCAATGTCGAAAATTGCTCCCCATGGACTTCTATCTTGGTGGTGATGTAAAAACGGTGAACCCATGCATAATGCATGAACTACATACACATTTAGTTTTAAAAGATAGCCAGTAATGGGGTGGTGTTTTGTTGAAGTGGACAATGCAGGGTTTGTAACTGGAACAATCTAGGGTTGGGTTCTTGGAAATAAAAATCGCATTATTTTTTCATAGAGAAATAAATTTTAACGATTATATGCAAACCTTTTGAGACTGACGTATCATAAGATTGGAGGTTATTAATCAATATGTAACGTAATAAAAAATAAAAACAATTCATATTTAATATAGAATTTTTAGGTGAAGAACTAAACTACATTACCCATGAATCCTAAAGAGAAAGCAGTCTCAAACTCCAATGACAAGCCAGTATTCCTACATTCTCTCTTATTTGTTACACACACACATTCCCATTCAATTTTTGGGGATTATAAGATTTTTTTCATGTGTTCGGAAGAAGTCTCACCTAAGCTGCATTTATTTGTTTATAATTCAAGTACGTAATTTGCAGTGCTTCATTTGATTGTTGTTCATTACCTCATAGAAGACATTTGTTTTGAACACATCTTTGTCTGATTTTCATGGATTGTATTTGTACGTGTATGTTGATTTTTTGGCTTCAAAACAGTTAATGTTGTGAGTATTCTCAGAGGAGATTGCTTTGGTTTTTACATCCTTACGGAGACAATGAATGGGGAGAATAGGAACCAATGCCACTGGAAAAAAGGATAGTTTGTGTTGTATTGACTAGTTAGCGTCAATAAGCTAGTAGTAACTGCTTTTGTTCAAGTCACAGACATACTTCATTATATTAGATGCTTTATTTGGAGGGCTCTTAAAAGCATCAAAATGACATGCATTTTTTGACAAGTGATCAGTCACATGTTTCTGGAAGCGAGTACCCATGAAACCCTCTAGGCTGCGTACTTTAAGGGGGCCATCTGATGCCTGCAGCTGAGATGAATGGAAACTGTATCAGATAACTTTGTGTATTACAGACCTCCTTGGTTTATTCCCCATAATGAGCAAGCCAAGAGCCTTTACCACTGTGCCCTTGAGCAAGGCTCTTCACCTCAGGTTTCTCCAAGGGAATTGTCCCAATAATAAAATCATGCCATCATTCTAATGCAACATCTCACAGGCTTGTTCATTTGGTAATAAATATCGATTACATTCTATTTTAATACAAAATCTGCTCATCACAAATGCACTTATTATCTTTGGCAGTCTGTTTGACAGCTATTACAGTGATGAGCCAAACTTATCCTTCATTCAGCATGTGCCATGGCAGGGATTCTTCTCTCTTGGATCAAGCAACGTTTTCATGAACGTTATAGGGCTCAGAAACATGAGATATCCTTATTTGATATATTGAAAGATGAGATCTCAATGAATAATGTTATGAGCAATTGTGAGCTCTAGGTAGAAAGCTGTCGGTCACACTCCCGACCTTCACATCCATAAGATGACCTAAGAGGCCTGGAATCAGAGCCATAATGATCACCATGTTCTGAGGTCATTTGAGAACCTGTTATAAGCTCTGAGCTGGAAAGGGTGAAGGAAACATGTATTCGCAGTCACGCTGAGACTGAAGTCAATGATCAAATTTGCTTTCGATATTTCTTACAATATTATATATGCACTGGGGCTGTTTCTCTGCAAGTAAAGTTTCAAGGACTTTACACGATCCCGACGCAGGTGCTGATAAGCTCCTTGGAATGTGTTGACACTAATCCCATTTCAGTTTAAGGTATTAAACCATCTTATAAGTTTTGATTTATCTGTTCCCCGCTAAGACCTTGTTAACATGTGCGAAGCTACTGCATTTCAGGAAAGGTTAAGGGTTATGTGTTTCTTGGAACTCTAGTCGATTCCCGCTGTTGGAGTCTCTTCATGTTAGTGAAGTACACAAGAGATTTAACATATGTACTTCTGGGTTCTACGAAAGGCTTCACTGCCTTGTAATTTTTGTGGAAACCAGCCCTGTTTACTTGTTGCTGCGATTTCTTTTGATGTGACAGTTTTATGGGGTATGTTTGAGGTGATTTGCTCGGAGGAAGCAATTAGCCATCTTTTCCTTCTTTAGAAGTGGGAAGATGCCACTTGTCAACATTTGAATTAATAACTTTGATGAGCATTTATGGCTTTTGAAATGCTATAGAATGTACAGTATGTCTGCAATATGTTTCCTTTTGAATTGTCGCTGAGCAGAGCGTCAGGTTGTCAAACAAATTGATTGATACAGAATCAGTGCTCTTTTCCAGGCATAACATTCCTTCATTTTTGCTCCTTCTCTTTTGCTTTGAAGTTTGAGATGAAGGGAAGAACAGCTGGGACGTCTGAAGCCAAAGGAAGAGTGTGGGAGGTGGTGTAATGTGAAAGTTAAGTGTTTGTGTGCGTGTGTGTGACAGGTGTCCACTGTGTCTCGCTGGAAAGGGACAGATGCTATATTTAGCACCTCTGACAAGTTTCCACCACTCCTGTCAGGCAACAGCATACCCATAATTACAGCGTAGTGTATGTGTGTGTGTGTTTGTTTCTGTTTTACTGTGTTTTATTCCGGTATTTAATGTCAGAGGTCCATAAGAGGCATTGTGGGAGTTCTTGTTATGTGTGTAATTCATCCACCGACACATTATTTTGCTCTATTTTTGATCAACATGCAAACCCTGCAATCCAACTGTTCTTTTAATTACTAAAACACAGTTTCTCCTCAATAACCTTTATGTGGCTTATTTCTATTTAACCACAGAGGCACATGTTCTATTGTGTTTTACTTCCACCTAGTGGACCACTGTAACATCACACAGGAAGCGGAATAATATTTAGGTCATTCTCAGATATTTAGAGACTACAAAAAGACTTCATTAAATAAAGCTAAAAAAAAAGTTAATTAAAAATATTTATATTAATATTTAAACCTACTAAAATAACACTGTTTCTATACTGTAGTCTTTACTGTATTGTAGTTTGTAGTCATTCCATTTCCAATTAGATGAAAGAACCTAAAGTTATTTTTTAAAATGTGCCACTCATTATTTGATGTGACTGCCAAAAATAAAGATATTTTTTATAAATCTGAACTGGCAAAATATCTATATCATTTCCGAGAAGTTAATGTCACACGCATGTAATGTGATTAAGTCATGTGACATAATTTAACTATACTGTACTTACTGTTTTTGAAGTGTATACTGAGCAGTATTCAGTGAGCTTAATCAATGTCATATTTGATTCTGGAACCATCTGGCTTCTTCATCTTGTTCCTGTAACAACAAATAACAAAATTTTCTGACAACAATAGAAGAATGTCATTGCATAATACTGTTATGAAATATATATATAAACAAATACTGAAAATATGCTTATGTAACAGCCCTTTGAGATGATGTGAAACCAACAGAATTAGTGCAGGGTAAATTCATTGTAAAGTGACCCAGTCAGTCAACATCATATGCTGTGCTCAAACACTATTTGCATAATTATAGCACCAAATTAGGTCTAAAAGCCTTTTTCAAAACCTGTGCCTGCAAACACTGTCATTTCAAATTTGTTGTCAGTGAAGTGACAGTGATATGTGTATGGAAACCGTTTAACTGGATGTTCTTTGAAGGGAGAGGAGCATGGGTTTCCCTGTCAACACCATCTTCTCAGTGGCAGATGAGGTCAGACAGGAGGGGGGTGTTCTAAACTGCCAGCAGGATGAAATTTAAGACAAGCTCCGAGCCACCCCCCATTTGTGACTCCTCCAATCCGACTGCACGTTGTTATTCTCCGTGCCCTTTAAGATTTATGCTGGTCACTTACGTCTTTCCTTCGCTTTGCGACATTGTGATAGGTAAGATGTATATATGTTAGATTTGCATGGACAAATCTGTGCTGTACTTACACCGTAGCAGAATTTGGGATTGGTTTGTGTTATCAGCTTCCCATATCATTGTGGACCATTCATACATCCAATTATGTTTGCCTGGTGTGCAACTTTTCATGAACTTTGGAAGTTATATGCATGCGTGGACACCTGCAATGTGGACAAATGCAAGGTAGAGAAGTCAAATTATTACATACTCAACTTTAGAAGTAGACAGCACTTTTAATCTCTCATCCCCTAAAATGAAGTTGTAGTTATCGATCAAAGTTTATGCACTAAATAAAATAATTCTACACATAAACATGTGTTACATACGAAATAACTAACAACATCACCTAGTTTCATTAGATTTGGGTTTGACTAATGTGCTGACAACTAGTGTTGTTTCGTTTTTGAATGAATCATTTAAGTGAACAAAACATTCCGGTTCGAACGAATCATTCATGTTTTCCGTTCACTGAAGCAGTTGACCGATTTCCTCCATGTGAAAACGAAGCTCGTTCGTGAATAACTAATCTATATAAACGTAATTTATATAGATCAGTGTTTATATAGGCCTGAAGTATCTGTAGCCTGTTAAATATTCTATTCAAGTCTGCGAGTCAGCATCGTTCAAAACAAGGAGAGAAATAAGATTGCTGAAGAATTATCAATGTAAACATGACTATATATAAAACATAGGTATATTGAAACAACATTAAACTACTAAATTTATTATTTATGTTGTATATACATTTGGGGGAAAAGCTTTAAGCGTCGTTATGGATTTGAACGACACAGTGTTTGTGAATGAATCGATTCACTCACCAAAGTTTATTTTCGCTTGTTGTCACCACCTACTGGCATACATTAGCTATGTATAATCTACAGAAATTATCACTGAACGAATTGATGAATAATACGAATAAACATTTTAGAGAATCAATGGGGTTAGAAGATTCGAGTCACTAAACGAAAGAAATCCACATCACTAAGTTCGATACTGACGACAGAAACACACACATGCATAGAAAAAACACTTTAAAATAGTGAAGTAACGTTAACGTTAGAAGTTTCACCGACTTGAATGAAAGCACCTCAGGCTTAAACTAATTTCTAAACATATTAAAACAATAACATTAGTCGATACCTGACAGTGCCATGGATTGAATAATACAGATTTTTTTCTCTGTCGAATCGCCAAATACTCCACGACATAATGAATTAATATTAATTTCATCATGCGCACGTTGCTTTGAATTCTTCCAGGCGCGTCCCCGCACGTGACTAATAAATATTCATGAGCAAAGCTTTCTCTGTAGTACTATTGGTGAATTCGTTTCCTATCGAGGAAGTTATCTTTTCGAGTAGTAATTCAACGCGCTTAAGCATTTACAGTGAATAATATCAATATCGACAGCGAAGCTTCATATAATGTGATGAACATAAACACAAAAGAAGGGCTCATTTGAGACGGTAGGCTGTTCTTTACGTGGCTTTCTATTGCTGATGATGTGGAGCACAACCTATCGACCGTGTGTAACATATCATTGTTTTCATCTGTCATTTTCAATATCATGAGTCGATAGCGTTTAGCTTCGATCCATAAACGTGTGAGATACATGTATTTGTTCGAGGAACGGTTGTTGTGAGATCTGAGGCAAGCTTCAGTGATATATCTGTGGGAATGTGACTTGATATTGCTATGGCAACGTGTCATCAGTGCTTATGGACCAAAACATGAGCATCATCATTATCATCGGTGTGATTAAAGATCGAAGTGATACAAACCTTTCAGATCAGACTGTTGATACATCGTGGATCATTATAGTGGTAACACGTTCTGTTTAAAACTATTTCGAAAAAGCTAACTTCCTAAACACTGATTAACATGAATAATACATTAGCTTTACCGTTTATAAAGGCCTTGTATTCAAAATTCCTTACAGATAAATTACTGAAATAAACGTTGGGCTACTCAGATTGTACAGTCAGTGGGATTCAAGAGTATGCAGACACATTCAAAATCTGGGATGAGCAATGCAATGTAAATGAAATATGTAATTAAATAGAACATTTTTAACACACGAATAAAATAACACAAATCAAACCTGGTTGGGCAAGTTCTGTTTTTTTACTAAGAACATATATTTAATATTAGTACATATTTATACAATTATATAATTTTAGCAACATATTTCATGTCACTAAATTCTTTTCTTTACATAAATAATGCTACAAATATATTATTAGAATGACACTAAAATTACAATTAACAACAACAATGTTCATCACTATGTTATCATTTAGCCTATACCCTCCAGTTATTCCAAACCTGTAAGAGTTTCTATGTTCTGCTGAACACAAAGGAAGATATTTTGAAGAATGTTGGTAACTTGACAAATTACGTTAGCCATTGACTTGTTGAAAAAAAAAAAAAAATACAATGGAAGACGTCAATGGGGTCTGGTTACCGACATTCTTTAAAATATCTTCCTGTGTGTTCAATAGAACAAAGAAAATTCAGCTTGTCACTTAAAATTATTTTTCTCATATTATCATGTAATGAATAAAACATTTGTGTTGAATTAGAAAAAAAATTTATGACTTATGAATCTCAGCTGTATGTTTTGGCCTAAATGAAATGTTTTATTGATGGACTTCCTGTTTCTCAGAGGGAGCGGACCGGAGACTCCACCATGGCAGGAGACGAAGTTCGACAGAGGAAAGGAGGTGGCCGCAAGAAGTCCAAAAAGGGGAAAGGGAAGGGCCAGGGTGCTTTGGATCGGGCTGCCAGTCTAGATGAGCAAAATGACCTGCTGTTGCCGCCTCCCATCATACCACCTAAAAAGCCTGTGGAGGAGAGGATCAAAACGGCCCAGGCTAAGATAGAGGATGAGTCGGCCATTTCTATCTGCCTGCAGGTGCTGATCCCATACCTGCTGGCTGGGATGGGGATGGTGATGGCAGGTATGGTGCTGGACAGTGTGCAGGTAAGAGACTTTTGAAGAACTTTCTGCAAATTTACACACCGTTTTATCGCCTGACATGTCTTTGCAACAGTTTAAGGTTGAGACTAGCAACTAATGTGCCCACTTTAATTATCCAGCATGTCAAGTGCTGGTATTTATGGTCCTCACTTACAGGAAGCAGAGTGTGAGGCAAATTAATGTGGTCATTAAAATTCATTCGGAAGGAGAGAGACCGGGCGAAAAACTCCTATCATGAAGCATTAAAGCAATAGTTCACCCACAAATGTTGTCAATTTGAAGTCCTACAAATCTGTTTGTTTTGTGGAACACAAATTGAAAATATTAGTGCAACTTTTCTTTCCATACATCAAAAGTGAATGGGAAAAGTGTCAAGCTCTAAAAAGAACAAAAATACATAATAAAAATGGCATGTACAAAAACATTTTTTGAACGAAATGTTCATTTCATGATACAGATGGATCCTTTCATCCATGAAATTTGGTGTCCCTCAAAAGAGAAATAAACTCAGAGGAAATCTCAGAGGAAAAAAAGTCCAAACTGTGAGATGTGAACTCAAACTTCCAAGAAAAAAAAAAAGACAGAATTTCAAGATGTTACCCCAGAATTCCGAGACAAAATGAAAATTATTGCAAGAATTCAGAGAAAAAAATTGCAATATAAACTCGCAATTCTGAAAACGATAGTCTGAATTGAATATGCTAACTCGAGAGTTCTAAGAAAAAAGTCAGAATTGTGAGATATAAATTCAGAATTCAGAAACAATCAGAATTTGCTAATCTTGATTTTTCACAACTTGCACTTCATGTAGCTTTGCACTGAAGACCAACGGCTAAGATCAGGAATTTCCTTAAATAAAACACAACATTTTTATATTGTATACTCCCAGAACACTTGGAATATATGAAACATGTCACATGGTTTCATTCAGTGATATTTTTTGTCTCTTTTTAAAAGCTTGATGCTGGTCGCAATTCACTGCTATTATATGGATGAGACACAAGTCAAAATGACCTGAAAATGACCAAATGAAGGCCATATGGCATTAGAACAACAACAGGGTGAGTCATTTGTGACTTAATTTGAATTTTAGGGTGAACGATCCCTTTCACTCAAAATTGAGATAAACTCAGATTTGCGAGAAATAAAGTCAGAATGGTTAGATGAAAAGTCCTAATTACCTTTTTTAATTATTATTCTGTGGCAGAAACAGGTTTCCACATGAGACAGCAAATATTGACAAAAAAGATTATTTTAAAGAACGCCTCCCTAATAATCGCTGTCTCAAGAGATGCTGTCTCCTGGTGGTGTTTAATGAATGCGTTCAGAGGTGTGTGTTGGTGATGTGGGTCTGGATTTGCTGCGTCACCGTGCCTGCTCACGACCGAGCTGGGGTTGTTTTTAGCTGAGTCATGCCCTTCGTCCAAACGTGTCCTCTACGCACTGGCAAGCGGTAGAGTGGTGAGTAATCGAACAACGCTTGCTTTTACAACCCCATGGGTTCTCAATCTTTCTCCTTGTCTCTCATACACACACTTGTTCTATCTCGCTCTCCTGCTTCGTCTTTCCCCCCTCTCGTCCGGCTGCCAAGCACTCAGCCCTTTCATAGCTGATAAGACAGGTTCAGTTAAACGTCAGAGGAGACATTAGCAGAGAGCAGGACAGGGGGACAGATGCAAGACTCTGAGCATCTGAGTCAGATGAAATGGTTGATAGGAAGTAATAAGGCTCAGACTAGTGACTGTTAAAAGGCTTGCTGCACCAATGAGGAGGGGGTGAAGAGGAACGAGTGGAAAAAGCCTCAACATGTGTTTCTGTCACGTTCTGGACCTGTTAGACCAGGCCTGGTGACGGAGACGTCGAGCCAGACAGGACTGTTCGTCTTGTAAGTCACGACTCCTGTGGCGGAGGGAAGATGCGTCGTGTATATGGACGTTCCAGCGACCTGCGAGTGAAAAAAGCGGCGGCTTGGGAATTATCATAAGAGTCCTCTAGAGACAACTCTCATCAAGGCATATATGTCGAGTCTTGAAGTTTTTAAAAGTGCTCAGAGAACCAACTGAGGAGAAGGAGACTTGAAGGTGAAGATTCCTGTTGGATTTGTTGGCATTGATAGAACTGAAATATACATCAGCCATCTTGTTGGGCCTTTGCTATCGTGGGACGATCTGAAGATACTAAATTGCCTCATCTTTCTGAGTCAGCATATTATTTTTCTTCTTCCTAACCTTGGTTATATTCTTGCCTGTTTGTCTTGAGCTTCTTGTTTTGTTTTTTCGAGACATTATGAAAGAAACGTTCAGCAATCTAGGAGAGTGTTGAAAGCTCCCAGGAACCCTCGTTGAGCCTTCCGGTTACGTTGGGGAATGAGGTAACAGAGATGGTGGTCACTCAGTTAGAGCTGGAGCTCTGTTATCAGGGGACGAAGCTCAGAGGTTTCACCTGCAAGCTCACCCGTTCGGCTCATGGCTTTCTGCCGGAGAGCTCGTACATCATCGCTGCGCAGGTCTTCCTGCCGTATCTGCTGGGCGGACTGGGGATGGTGGCGGCTGGTATCGTCATGGACATTATCCAAGTATGAGCAATTTAATCTAGATTTGCCATATTTCTTAGTTGATATATTATTGAAAGTGCATTTTTACAAATTGTACGTAATGCTGTTTTCCAAAAGTATTGATAAACGTTGGCGATACCATGGTTCAGTGTAATACCATTATACTTTGATGTATCCCACCAATGTAAAAAAGATGCACCATGGTAGTGCTATGACTTTGTGCCATGGTGTTCCACTTAAATACCATGGGAGTCCTACAGTAGTTTCATAAAGGCATGATACTACCATACCATCTTCATGTTACTTCAAGAATACCATGTCAAAAAATCATTTTTCTATTGTAGCATGTCCGTAAAATCATAATTCCGTGGTACTTTTCTATGTTGAAGCATATACTGTAGATATTGAAGTTTAAAGAAATACACATGATTAATAAATGCATTAAGAATAATAAGAGTCATAAAGTCACTGTGATTCTTTGACTGGTTTTAATGCTTTAATAACATGACAGCTAAACTAAATTGTATCATAATTTATTAATCTCAAATTCATTGATTCATTTATCAATTATTTGCAACTGGTTCACTTAATATGTGCTATTTTTCTGCTTCATTCACAGCTAAAACACAATTTCAAATACAACTGCGATTTTTATTTTTTTTTAATTGTTAACCAAAACAAAACAATTTTTTTCCTTTTTTTTCATTTTTGTTAATTGAAATAAAGGTAAAATCAAATTAAAGATAAATATTAGATGAAATACTGAAACCAAAAAACTTAAATGAAAATAATATAGATTAAATGAAAGTAGTAATATTACTACACTACAACTAAAACTGAAATAGATTTAAATTAAAACTGAATAGAAATGAATGAAAAAAAAATGTAAACAATCACCCAAACTAAAATGAAAACCGAAAGTCTAAAAACAAAAGCGAATTCAAAATGTAAATAAATTCTATAATAGTACATAAACACTAAAATAACACTGCTTTTGTATGTTCCATTATTGCACCTTTACATTAGATATGTAAGAAAATGTATGTAGATCTAAAGATACAGCATTCTAACGCAAAATATCCCCTAGTTAATATACTTAATGTTTTGTATGTACATTATGCAGTTATCTCATGGAATATCAGCACACTTCACAAGCACATGCTAACTTCCAGTAACAGCTCCTCGTGTTCCTCATGTCCTCCAGTGGTTGGCATGGACTATGTTGTGTGTCTATTAATTGAATTCTCATGGGGGCAGGTGAGATAGACTGGGTGAGAGGATGAGAGCTTGTTTGTAGCGGGCTGAGAGAGAGGGAGGAGGAGAAGTGGGCTAGATCCCAAGACGGGCCTGTGACGTGACACCAGCCTCTCGAAACAGCCTGCACTGTGCGTGTGGTAAAAATACCATCCCCTGGCTGACTGGCTGGCTGGCACCGGTCTCTTATCTGTTTATTTAAACATTACGGTTATTTTTAACTGCATGATGAGTGGGCTTGTGAAGAGAGGAGCACTCAACTCGTATACTGACACGTACTAAATATAAACGCACTGCACAGGAAGCCATTCGTGTTCAATGATTCACTTGGACTCTTTTGTCAGCATGCACATTATGAGATGATATGTATGATTTAGCTGATGACTAGTTTGTGTTTTGGCTGTAAGAATCAATAAAGAACTGAAACTGACACCTTGTTGGATTAATCTGAAAGTATTAAGATGTCACACAGTTTTGGTCACATTAGCAGTGATGTATGGGAAAGCCAACGCACCATTCTGTGTAAAGTATCTGTTTAGCTCAAATTCTTGAAAAGTTCAGTATCTATGGATCTCAGGGCAGGGCTTCAGTTCCCATCATGCAGTGTGACTTAAATGGATAATTATTATTTTACTATGTAGCCTACCTTTATATTTCTGCACCAGTGTTGTTGTATTTGTTGCTCCTTTGAATCATATAGCTTTAATTGAAAGCGATTTAAATATGACATTTTCAACTGTGAATTTTTTTTGTTTGTTTTTATTTATGTATTCATTTTTGCTTATTGAAACAAATTTTTGCAAGCACATTCCCTTCCTCATTCTCTTGTTAATCCTGTTATAATCATGCCTAGACACAGGGATTCATTTTTTATTAATTATAAAATCTGCTTTAACTACATTAATCATAGTAAATACCACCTTGATGTATTTGATAAATATATTTTACAAATTTTTTTGATAAAGTACTTCAAAATTCGAAAATAAAAATTTGTTGAGAATGAGATATGACCCAGACATTAATCTTAATCAATTTTAATTAGATTTACATACAAAAAGTGTTTACAAACTTTTTTTTTTTAGATATGACCGTTTTGAGCTTCACACTTGTTTAGCTGTAAAACCTGAATGTGTTTGTGCTAAACACGGTTCTTTCTAAAATACCCGGAAAATCTCTTTTTGGTGTCTACTTTTGTGTGTGCCTACTTACACATTTGTCATTTTATTTCATAAAAACTGTTTTAATGGTTCCAGGTCAACCTGATAACATGGAGAACAGTTGGCCTACTTTGTTTTCCAGTTTCAGACTGTTTGTGTGAATCTGCTCTGTGTGTGTGTGTGTGTGTTTCAGCATTGGGATGTGTTTAAGGTGATCACAGAGGTGTTCATCCTGGTACCTGCTCTGGTCGGACTCAAGGGAAACCTGGAGATGACTCTAGCATCTCGTCTCTCTACTGCTGTATGTAAAAATATTACTAATCTATCTCAAGCTGTAACCTTAGTGTTTAATGACCCTGAGTGTGTCTCCATTATTACATCAAAACACTTCAAGCGGTTATTTTCTTCCCTGAGGTTTTGTTTCCCATCTTCCTCAGGCTAACACTGGACAGATGGATGACCCCAAACAGCAGTGGGTGATGGTGACCTGTAATCTTGCTCTTATTCAGGTGGGGGAATCAGAATACACTGGAATACACTGGAAACTGGCTTTAGTACTCAGTCAGAGATAAATTAGACATTACGAACGTGAATTAACAGAACAACCTTTCATTAAACATTAAATAAATTTGAATATGAACAATAACTCTGAGACTTCACTCTGCAGTCCCCGGTCTCTAATACTAATGAGATGTCATTATAAAATGAATTTTTAATCTCTGTTTAATTATGAATGGTGCATATGATCAGTGATTGTGTGGATGTCTTCTCCAGATTCAGGCCACTGTGGTGGGCTTCCTGGCAGCTCTGGCGGCCGTAGGGCTTGGCGCTCTGTCCAGAGGGGGGGTTGAGCTGGACCAGGCAGCTGTCCTGTGTGCTAGCAGTGTTACCACTGCATTCATGGCCGCGCTGTCCTTAGGTACACCACTCCCCATTATTTCAAGATTACATGAAATTCATTTACATTTTTATAGACATCTATGGTCTTATTGTTTATGATTTATATTTTATGAAGAGAAAAAACTATTTTCATAATCTAGAAGTTTAAAACCATTTTAAAAACAAGACGACTCCATAACTTAATTATAATAAATAAAAATACTTCCACAATCCAATGGATAAAATAAAATTGCTATTTTTCTATAAACAAAAATGTGTTCAAAAGTTAAAAAAAGTAAGAACTTAAGTAAATTCATTTTTATTGTGCAAGGACACAATAAATTAATAATAATTTCAGTAAAGACTGTTTCATTGACAATGTAATCATCTGTATTTTTGTAAACTAACGTTAACAAAGATTAATAAATACTGTAGCAAATGTTTTGTAACGAATTAGTATTTGACTCAGCTGCTTTCTTCTATGTCCAGGTCTGGTGATGATTGGTGTGGTCATTGGCTCAAGAAAGGTGGGCATCAACCCTGATAATGTGGCCACCCCGATAGCAGCCAGTCTGGGAGATCTCATCACTCTTTCTCTATTGGCTGGAGTCAGCACCACATTGTTCCAGTACAGAGGTATGGGGCCATCTAGTAATTCAGTCACCGATACTGTTTATGTAACCTAATAACTGCTAGTTTTAGAGCCTAGAATATTTATTTTATGCATTACAGCACATATTGTTACAAAATTGCCTAATATTTAATTAGACTATTGCTAATTATTAACAATCGTTAGATAAAAGTAGTGTGGAAAACTTTTATTAATTTAATTTTAAATTACATAAATCATTTGGTATTATAAATAAATTAAGTAAATTAAACAAAAATAAATTAATTTAAAATATCCACAAACCGATCAATATCCATTAAATGAATTACAAATATCACATATTTTTATATTTGAGGCTCTAAATATTAAATGAGTGTGAGCTGTTAAAAGTGTACCAGAAGAGGGCAGTAGAAATGCACAAAAAATATTTATTTGTTTATCTTTCCTAAACCATTTGGTTGATTAAAGATTAAGAGTAAGATCTCCTCCCCTTGGGAAAATCATCTCTCGTTGTCATTTTATTCTCTAGAGCCCTTAAAATCAGCATTTACTTATATCATATTGCACGTTATCTGAAAATATGCATTTATTAGACTAGCATGTATCATCAGTGTAATCTAAAAATGTTTGTGTGTGTCCAGATGTGTGGTATTTGTCCCCGTTGGTCTGTGTCTTCTTCCTGCTGCTCATTCCTCTCTGGGTGCTCATCGCTAGACGGAGTCCTCAGATTAAAGAGGTTCTGAAGTCCGGCTGGCAGCCTGTTATAGTAGCCATGTCCATCAGCAGGTACAAATGTGCATGCAGAGACACTCTCTTCCATCAGTGTGTCAGAATGGAGTGATGCAGGTATGACATCAGAAGCTGGAATACTAATTCACAACCGGTTCCTTCAAAATTTTCCTATGGGGTTTTATGATTTACGTGTAAAATAAAACCTGTGGTAAATATAACTTGACTATAGTTTGACGTTTTGTCTTACAAAGTAAATTAGACACACCCATAGCGAACACGTAAATTTTGAAGCATTTTTGAAAACAAATTTTTTAATGAGTAACTTGATACGACAGCTTTGGGCGTGAGTGTTGCAGTGTACGTTGTAGAACAAAACATCGAAGTATCATCAAGTTATGTTTACCACAGGCTTTATTTTACTCATATCTTGAAAACCCCCATTGGAAAATCTCAAAGGACCAGTGGCGAATTGGGCTTCCAGGTTCTGATGTCATACCTGCACCACTCTATAGAGATAACAAAATGAAATGTATTTTTAATAATGTATTCAATGTAGCAAAAATGTTTTGCCTGTAATGGAGGACACATGAGATGCGTCCCAAATTATGCACTGTATACACTTATACACTATGTACTTATGCACTCATCTGTGTAGTGTATGAATTTAATACGGTTATTTTGTCATTCAACATTGGAGTCTGATGCCCCTCCCTCTCTGCTCCGTAATTAAAGCTGCGACAGTTTAGTGCATGAATTGTCTAACTTTCCACTCTTCATTTTTTGGGTCGAATGTTTCAGTTTCCATATCTCAGCTGTGGAAGGGTCTAAAGCCTCCATTTTTGCACTCAAGTTTAAGTCTCATGGCACTCTATCAGAATCCAGAGTTTTGAGAAAATTGGAGAAACTTCGTTTTTTGCCCCCCCCCCCCCCCCCCCCCCAAAAAAAAAAAAAAAAAAAGAAAGGGGTACCACTGTCGTTTTTTTTGGGTCGAATTTTGAGTTTCGATATCTCAGCTCTGGAAGGGGCTAGAGCCTCCATTTTTGCACTCAGGTCTAAGTCTCATGGCCCTCTATCAGAATCCAGAGTTTTGGGAAGATTGGAGAAACTTAATTTTTCGCCCGAAAAAAAAAAAACGTAAGGGGTACCACTGTCATTTTTTTTTCGGGCCGAATTTTTGAGTTTCGATATCTCAGCTCTGGAAGGGGCTAGAGCCTCCATTTTTGCACTCAGGTCTAAGTCTCATGGCCCTCTATCAGAATCCAGAGTTTTGGGAAGATTGGAGAAACTTAATTTTTCGCCCGAAAAAAAAAAACGTAAGGGGTACAACTGTCGTTTTTTTTTCGGGCCGAATTTTTGAGTTTCGATATCTCAGCTCTGGAAGGGGCTAGAGCCTCCATGTTTGCACTCAGGTCTAAGTCTCATGGCCCTCTATCAGAATCCAGAGTTTTGGGAAGATTGGAGAAACTTAATTTTTCGCCCGAAAAAAAAAAACAAAACGTAAGGGGTACCACTGTCGTTTTTTTTTTCGGGCCGAATTTTTGAGTTTCGATATCTCAGCTCTGGAAGGGGCTAGAGCCTCCATTTTTGCACTCAGGTCTAAGTCTCATGGCCCTCTATCAGAATCCAGAGTTTTGAGAAGATTGGAGAAACTTAATTTTTCGCCCGAAAAAAACAAAAACGTAATGGGTACCACTGTCGTTTTTTTTTCGGGCCGAATTTTTGAGTTTCGATATCTCAGCTCTGGAAGGGGCTAGAGTCTCCATTTTTGCACTCAGGTCTAAGTCTCATGGCCCTCTATCAGAATCCAGAGTTTTTGGAAGATTGGAGAAACTTAATTTTTCGCCTGAAAAAAAAAAACGTAAGGGGTACCACTGTCGTTTTTTTTTCGGACCGAATTTTTGAGTTTCGATATCTCAGCTCTTGAAGGGGCTAGAGCCTCCATTTTTGCACTCAGGTCTAAGTCTCATGGCCCTCTATCAGAATCCATGGCTTTGGGAAGATTGGAGTAACTTAATTTTTCACCCGAAAAAAAAAACGTAAGGGGTACCACTGTCGTTTTTTTTTTCGGGCCGAATTTTTGAGTTTCGATATCTCAGCTCTGGAAGGGGCTAGAGCCTCCATTTTTGCACTCAGGTCTAAGTCTCATGGCCCTCTATTAGAATACAAAGTTTTGAGAAGATTGGAGAAACTTAATTTTTCGCCCGAAAAAAAAAACAAAACGTAAGGGGTACCACTGTCGTTTTTTTTTTCGGGCCGAATTTTTGAGTTTCGATATCTCAGCTCTGGAAGGGGCTAGAGCCTCCATTTTTGCACTCAGGTCTAAGTCTCATGGCCCTCTATTAGAATACAGAGTTTTGAGAAGATTGGAGAAACTTAATTTTTCGCCCGAAAAAAAACCGTAAGGGTTTTTTTCACTGTCGTTTTTTTTTCGGGCCGAATTTTTGAGTTTCGATATCTCAGCTCTGGAAGGGGCTAGAGCCTCCATTTTTGCACTCAGGTATAAGTCTCATGACCCGGAAAAAAAACGACAGTGTTACCCCTTTCGTTTTTTTTTTTATTTTTGGGCAAAAAATTAAGTTTCTCCAATCCTCTCAAAACTCTGGATTCTGATAGAGGGCCACGAGACTTTGACCTGAGTGCAAAAATGGAGGCTCTAGACCCTTCCAGAGCTGAGATATGGAAACTCAAAATTTCGACCCGAAAAAAAAAAACGACAGTGTTACCCCTTACGTTTTTTTTCGTTTTTGGGCGAAAAATCAAGTTTCTCCAATCTTCTCAAAACTCTGGATTATGATAGAGGGCCGCGAGACTTTGACGTGCGCGCAAAAATGGAGGCTCTAGACCCTTCCAGAGCTGAGATATGGAAAGTCAAAATTTCGACCCGAAAAAAACAACAACAGTGTTACCCCTTACGTTTTTTTTCGTTTTCGGGCGAAAAATCAAGTTTCTCCAATCTTCTCAAAACTCTGGATTATGATAGAGGGCCGCGAGACTTTGACCTGAGCGCAAAAATGGAGGCTCTAGACCCTTCCAGAGCTGAGATATGGAAACTCAAAATTTCGACCCGAAAAAAACAACAACAGTGTTACCCCTTACGTTTTTTTTCATTTTCGGGCGAAAAATCAAGTTTCTCCAATCTTCTCAAAACTCTGGATTATGATAGAGGGCCGCGAGACTTTGACCTGAGCGCAAAAATGGAGGCTCTAGACCCTTCCAGAGCTGAGATATGGAAACTCAAAATTTCGACCCGGAAAAAAAACGACAGTGTTACCCCTTACGTTTTTTTTTCGTTTTCGGGCGAAAAATCAAGTTTCTCCAATCTTCTCAAAACTCTGGATTATGATAGAGGGCCGCGAGACTTTGACCTGAGCGCAAAAATGGAGGCTCTAGACCCTTCCAGAGCTGAGATATGGAAACTCAAAATTTCGACCCGGAAAAAAAACGACAGTGTTACCCCTTACGTTTTTTTTCGTTTTCGGGCGAAAAATCAAGTTTCTCCAATCTTCTCAAAACTCTGGATTATGATAGAGGGCCGTGAGACTTTGACCTGAGCGCAAAAATGGAGGCTCTAGACCCTTCCAGAGCTGAGATATGGAAACTCAAAATTTCGACCCGAAAAAAAACGACAGTGTTACCCCTTACGTTTTTTTCGTTTTCGGGCGAAAAATCAAGTTTCTCCAATCTTCTCAAAACTCTGGATTATGATAGAGGGCCGCGAGAGTTTGACCTGAGCGCAAAAATGGAGGCTCTAGACCCTTCCAGAGCTGAGATATGAAAACTCAAAATTTCGACCCGAAAAAAAAAACGACAGTGTTACCCCTAACGTTTTTTTTTCGTTTTCGGGCGAAAAATCAAGTTTCTCCAATCTTCTCAAAACTCTGGATTATGATAGAGGGCCGCGAGACTTTGACCTGAGCGCAAAAATGGAGGCTCTAGACCCTTGCAGAGCTGAGATATGGAAACTCAAAATTTCGCCCCGAAAAAAAAAACGACAGTGTTACCCCTTACGTTTTTTTTTCGTTTTTGGGCGAAAAATCAAGTTTCTCCAATCTTCTCAAAACTCTGGATTATGATAGAGGGTCGTGAGACTTTGACCTGAGCGCAAAAATGGAGGCTCTAGACCCTTCCAGAGCTGAGATATGGAAACTCAAAATTTCGACCCGAAAAAAAAAAAACAGTGTTACCCCTTACGTTTTTTTTCGTTTTCGGGCGAAAAATCAAGTTTCTCCAATCTTCTCAAAACTCTGGATTATGATAGAGGGCCGCGAGAGTTTGACCTGAGCGCAAAAATGGAGGCTCTAGACCCTTCCAGAGCTGAGATATGGAAACTCAAAATTTCGACCCGAAAAAAAAACGACAGTGTTACCCCTTACGTTTTTTTTCGTTTTCGGGCGAAAAATCAAGTTTCTCCAATCTTCTCAAAACTCTGGATTATGATAGAGGGCCGCGAGACTTTGACCTGAGCGCAAAAATGGAGGCTCTAGACCCTTCCAGAGCTGAGATATGGAAACTCAAAATTTCGACCCGAAAAAAAAAACGACAGTGTTACCCCTTACGTTTTTTTTCATTTTCGGGCGAAAAATCAAGTTTCTTCAATCTTCTCAAAACTCTGGATTATGATAGAGGGTCGTGAGACTTTGACCTGAGCGCAAAAATGGAGGCTCTAGACCCTTCCAGAGCTGAGATATGGAAACTCAAAATTTCGACCCGAAAAAAAAAACGACAGTGTTACCCCTTACGTTTTTTTTCATTTTCGGGCGAAAAATCAAGTTTCTCCAATCTTCTCAAAACTCTGGATTATGATAGAGGGCCGCGAGACTTTGACCTGAGCGCAAAAATGGAGGCTCTAGACCCTTCCAGAGCTGAGATATGGAAACTCAAAATTTCGACCCGAAAAAAAAACGACAGTGTTACCCCTTACGTTTTTTTTTCGTTTTCGGGCGAAAAATCAAGTTTCTCCAATCTTCTCAAAACTCTGGATTATGATAGAGGGCCGTGAGACTTTGACCTGAGCGCAAAAATGGAGGCTCTAGACCCTTCCAGAGCTGAGATAT